AACCAAATGATTCATTTAAAAAAATCCATAGGTGGGATCCTGGGAGGCACACTTTGTGTAGCCCCCAGAAGGATAATTTTTTTGTTGTTGTTAAGAAAGGCTCTGACTCTGTTGCCTGGGCTAGAGTGCAGTGGCGTCATCATAGCTCACTGCAATCTCAAACTCCTGGGCTCAAGCAATCCTCTTGTCTCAACCTCCACGCACCAGCCACCATGTCTGGCTACTTTTGGGTAATTCCTAAGATTTACTCCAGGAAGTAGTGAAATGACTCCTGAAGGGTAGGTTGGATTTCCACTGGAGGAGACACTAACTAAGGGTGGCAACTTTATCTCAATTTTTTCCCCCATGGAGCCAATGGAAGGAGTAGCAACTTTATAACAAATGTGTGCTACTATGAAGCAGTCAATACTAAGAAAAGTTCTCATAAAACAGTGTGACATAGATAAGAACTTCAATATTTAGTCTTTTCTACTTCATTTCTTTATTTCTTTCTTTGAGACAAGACAATGTCTCACTCTGACACTCAGGCTAGAGTGCAGTGGCATCATTATAGCTCATTGCAACCTCAAACTCCTGGGCTCAAACGATCCTCCTGCCTCAGCCTCCGGAGTAGCTGGGACTACAGGAGCGTGCCACCACGCTCGGCTAATTTTTTCTATTTTTTGTACAGAAAGGGTTTCGCTCTTGCTCGGATTGCTCTGGCCTCAAGCAACCCTCCCACCTCAGCCTCCCTAAGTGTTAGGATTAGGGGCGTGAGCCACTGGCCTTTCCCTCACTTAATTTCATAAAGTATAATGTGGTGAGTAAAAATTTAAATTCCAGAAACATTACATTCCAAATATTACGTACCTGCAATTATAGTCAACTATAATAATAGGAAGTCCCTAGCCGTTACTCACGTTGTCTGACATCTATCTATACTTGGACTCTTAGGTAAGCCAGGATTCCACTCAAATCAAGTCGGATTTAAATCACTGGAGTGAGGCTCAGGCACTGGCATTTGTAAACAGTTCTCCAGGTAATTTTAATGTGCAGCCAGGATCACAACCCACCAGGCTAAATTGCAGTTGCGTGATTTTGGTTTTCCTGTTAACTTATTTTCTCTGCCCTTTCTCTTTTCTGGTTCAATAAATAATAAGAATTTTCCAATATTATTTTTATTAGTTTCCACTTACTGAGTACTTACTATGTGCCAGGCACGGTGCCAAACATTTTTTTGTGCAGTATCTCATCTAATTTCCATATCAACCCTCTGAGGTAGGTGCCATTTCTAAGTCACTTGCCCAGTTACTGCCCTTCTGGAGCTCAAGCTCCATTCACTGCGCCTCACTGCTTCTCTTCTCTAATCCACTTCCGATATGAAACTGTTGTGCAATCTGAAGTCTCTCCGCAGTTACAAAAAAAACGTTATCTGGGAAAAGCAAGTGAGAACAAGCGGCCAAATGACCAAGGAGCAAAGGCGGCGGGCACCAGGAGGCAGAAACGACATTGCAGGGCAGACGGAGATTTTCAAGATCTTTAATTCCCCGGACCCCCGCCCTACCTCATGCCTCTAACCACCCCGACTTAGGCCCGCTGTGAAAGCTCACTCGCTGGCCCTTGTTAGCCAATTTCAGGGCTAGAATCACCTTTAAATGCAAGGGGGAAAAAACTCCAGATTTCCCAAACCCATGGCTGCAGCTTAGGGGATCCGTCAGTACTGAGGATGGAGAAAAGCCCTCGCGCGCGTCCGGCGCAGCCGGCTCGTCGGCCCAATGCAGGAACACACGCCTGGGGCTGCCCAGCTCGCCCCCGCCCCGGAGCAGCCAGGTCCCAGGTCCGGCCCCTCCGGCAAAGCGCGCGGGGTGGGACACGAGGCTGGAGGCCCCCAGCCCTCCCTTCCTCGAGGGCGGGTGCACGCGGGCCGGTTGCATTCGCGCCCGCTCGGGGTCGAGGGAAGGCGGGCGAGCACTGCCCGGTGCAGCGCCCCAAAGGGGACGCGACCGCAGCTTCAGATATCCGGGGAGACTGGCCGGACCGACCCTCGTCCACAACACCCCGATTTCACTGAGGGCGCGGAGGCTGCGGCCGGGCTCCGGCCTGAGGGCGTGGGAGGCGGCGCCCGCGCACTCACACCCAGCGCCGCCGGGCGCAGAGCTCGGCGCGGGGAGGGTCCCCAGGGCAGACGCGCGCCGCACCCGGTTGCCGTGGTAACCCCGGGCGGCAGCCGGAGCCACCGCCGGAAGTGACGCGAGTTCACCTGCCGAGCGGGGGCGGGGGCGCAGAGGTGCCGCCGCCGTAGCCGCCGCGAGCTAGTCGGGAGCGCGCCAGGCGCCGGGAGACGGGGACCCGGAGCGAGAGCCGCTTACCTGCAGCCGCCGCCCGCGTCCCGGCAGCCACCATGGCGCTTCTGCTGCGCTTCGTGCTCCTGTGCGGAGTCGCGGGTGAGTGGGGGCCACTCGGTCCTCAGCACCCGCCCAACCCAGGGGCGCTCGCAGCCTGCGGCCACCCAGGAACAATGGGGCGTGGGGGAGGGGGCGGGCGCGATTTGGGGGCGCTGTCGCAGTGGCGGCGGGGCGGGCGGGATTGCACTGCGGTGCTTTTGCCGGGCCGGGCGCGCGAGCCTGGAGGGGGAGCGGCTCTGAACGGAGCTGCGCGCAGGGCGTGGGGCGTTCGGGGACCGAGCCCGGGGCGAGGGGCGGCGGTGGAGGGGCTCCGGGCGCAGCGTGCCGGGCGCGCCTCCCGGCGCTCCCAGGGCGTTCTTGGCCCGGGTGCGGGCTTTGCTTTATTTGCTCGTGCCCTTTCCCTTGTTAGTCTCCGCGTCGAGTCTGTCCAGCGTTACCCAATCTCAAGAGCCTTGGGCGGCGAGTTTTCAGGTGTGGAGCAGTCCAGGCGAGGAGACTGAATTACAAACGCCATTATTGAATGGACACTGAGCTGCTCTGTGCTTCCGATCATCCAGGCTACCTCTAGGAAAGAGACACCGAGTACGAACCTGGCCAGTCTTAGTCTGGTAGGAAAGGCTAGCCCAGGCAAGAACTGCTAGCTAGACGGTGAATTATGAAGTAGACCGTGGGAAATCAAAAGTAGGTTCCTGCAGAAATGCAGTATTGATTTCTGCAGTCCCGGGGCACAGTGCAAAGGAGAATTTAGTGACCTTGGTTTTGAGTTTGTAATGAGTTGGTTCATTTTGAAGATAAGACGAGATGACTTGTACAGGCTAATTCCTAAAGCATTTGCCAAGTACATTTTTCGACCGCGCCTTTCTCTGGGAGTGGGAAAAAAGGCAATTAAAAAAATGCGTGGACCATCAGAAGGCATAATCATTTTGACACTTACAAAACTGATCTGTCTTCATGTCTGTGTTTTAACCAGCTGATCTTGTGGTTGTCAAACTAATCACTTGCTGCATTTTATAACCAAATGATTCATTTAAAAAAATCCATAGGTGGGATCCTGGGAGGCACACTTTGTGTAGCCCCCAGAAGGATAATTTTTTTGTTGTTGTTAAGTGCCCTGAAGCTGGATCCAGTGGCCTTTTCAGTTGGGATGGCTCTCCGCTTCCTGTTGAAATGTTAATTCCATTGTTGGATGCCACAGCTGTGAGCTTTACTCACGGGATCACCATTCTATTAACAGATCTAATCTTCTATCTAAGCCTATAGCAGTACCTCCAATTTTTTGATACATATCATTTAGACTTGGCTGAAATTTCCAAAGTAAAGCTTCTGGAAATGATGAAGGGTCACATAACCAGTTTACAAGGTACATTCCCACCTTTGTTTTGTTAAGGCTTAACTGAAGTTGAGAACACAGTGCTTGTGTTCTCTGGGGAAAAAAATGTTTTAGACCACAACTAAAGCAGAAAAGTGGAAGAATATAAACCATGTAGAGGAACTTTATTGGTTTTTTTCCCCAAGAACGTTCAGATAATTGTCTGGATTTATTTTTTCTGGAATGCCTCAATTCGATAGGCACAATCCCAACCAAGGATATTTTGATACACGTAGAGTCACTGTGCTCATACAGTGTACACTAGGGTACAGTGAACATCTCATTAAAGGACTGATGTCTTCAGCTAAACAAGACAACTATTTTTGTTCCGATTTTTTCAGCTTAAGAAACAGCTCAAAAACTAATCTATGCATGGCTTCAAGTATTTCTTAGATTTAGAACTGCTTTGCTATGAACTCAATCAAGTTCAGTGTTAACATGATTGACTTCTACATGAGCAAAACCAGGAAGAGGCTTACATGTTAAAAATTGTAGTACTATCAGTGATAATTATTCCTGTAGAACTGTCTCTGTGTGTTTTAAAGAGTTTTGTAGGCCAGGCGCGGTGGCTCACGCCTGTAATCCTAGCTCTCTGGGAGGCCGAGGTGGGCGGATTGTTTGAGCTCAGGAGTTCGAAACCAGCCTGAGCAAGAGCGAGACCCCGTCTCTACTAAAATTAGAAAGAAATTAATTGGACAACTAAAAATATATAGAAAAAATTAGCCGGGCATGGTGGCGCATGCCTGTAGTCCCAGCTCTCGGGAGGCTGAGGCAGAAGGATCGCTTGAGCCCAGGAGTTTGAGGTTGCTGTGAGCTAGGCTGACACCACGGCACTCTAGCCCAGGCAACACAGTGAGACTCTGTCTCAAAAAAAAAAAAAAAAAGAGTTTTGTAGTATACTCTGGTTGCTGATGGGACTCCTTTTGATAACATTTTTATTGCCTATGTACTAGCAAGTCATACTACTAGTAATTGTTGTAGTAGTAGTAGTAGTAGTCATCGTCATAGTAGTAAAGCAGTAGCAATAGCAATAGTAGTAAAATCAAACTCTGGATTGAACAATTATTAGATGCCAGACACTGTTCTGAAGGCGGTACATATACTTATTTAAACTACCAAGCAGCCCTAGAGGTTATTTGTTATAGTTGCCTCTGTTATACAAGTAGAGAAACTGAGGCACAGAGAGATTATGTAATTTAACTTGCCAAGGTTACAGATGTGCTCTTGAATCTCCTTTTGTCACTGTGCTATTCTGCCTCTAAAGCTGTCACTTTCCTCTTTGATTACCTCTAATCACCATCCTAATTTCTACCACTGGTCATCTGTCATTTAGTAAGAACCTGCTGTTGGCTTGACTGTGTGCCAAGAACTGAATGCTTTTATTATTAGCTATTTAATTTTATGGTCTCAGTTTGAGGCATTGTGAGGACACTAGGCTTAGACTGGTGTTGTAAACTGCTGTGACCCATGTACCTGCAGCATCAGCATTACCTAGGGATCTTGTTAAAGTTTGGGATGCTGTTTTCCGAAATGCCAACAAGAGTGCAACTAAAAGTGTTCTCCCAACCACTTGTTAGCCATTTGATGGCGGCCACAGTCCTATCATCTCTGTGTGCCTCAGTTGCTTTATGTGTCAAGAGTGAGGATCCTGGGAAGGGGGAAGGTTGGTCAAAGGATACAAAATTTCAGTTAGATGGGAGGAATAAGTTCAAGAAATCCATTGTACAATACGGTGACTATAGTTAATAACAATGTATTCTTGAAAATTGCTACGAAAGTAGATTTTAAGTGTTTTCACCACGAAAAACGTATGTGAGATAATGCATATGTTAACTCACTTGATTTAGCCATCCCACAATGTATACATATTTCAAAATAACATGTTGTATAGGGTAAATATATATAATTTTTGTCAATGAAAAATAGCAAACAAAAAAAAGAAACGAGGATCCTACTCAGTTTCTTGAGTAAAGCGAGATATTTATTGTTTTGCTTTTCCTATAGTAGTCTTTTCCTTTACATAAAAAAATTTACAATGATTAGGGGTGAGCTTTATCCTCTGCATATGCCTCTATCTTAATATTAATATTTTTATTCCTGCCATTTACCACCATCAGAGCAAAAATTCCCTCTCCTCCAAAGCAAGCCTCCTTACACTGGCTCTTTACTGAGTGTATTGTGGAGTCTCCGTCAATTATCCAACGTATCTCCTTGCGCTAGGTCAGAGAGCTGGACCGTTACCTATATTCATTGTTAAGGCCCCTGTATGAGCTTGTGGCACCTGGAAGATGGCTAGTGTTCAGCAAGTGTGTTTTGCATGATGGAAAGTTTTCAAGTTCTTTGCCACTAGGCCTGTGTATATGACATAGTTTTCATCAGTTCCGTCTTTCTTTTACTCCCTTCTCATCCCATAAGTGTGGTCCTTACAGTGATCATTCCACTAACCATATCTTACTTAGTTTTTAGTCTAAAGAAGTTGAGCTTCTGCTTTATCTCTGACCTTTTGTTCTATTTTACCTCCCTGCTTCAGATGCCAAAGATTAACAGTAACGTATGTACCAAACCAACTTACCTCTTTGGAGCTCCTTGATACCGGTTTTGGTTCTTTTCCACCATGTTGACCTGCCTTTCACTGCCTTCTACAATAGGTACCTTGAATGTCAGACTTCCCCAAGATTCGGCCCATAGCCTCTTTTCAGTGTCCATCGTCAACCTGGATCATGTCATCTAGCTATCACTGTAATCTCCAAGTAATTGATTGTAAATTTAAAAATATTTCCAGCTCAGCCCCACACTTCTCCTTTGAATTCCGGGCCACTATTTCCAACTGCTTAACTTTCAACTTCCGTTTGAGTACTTAAGACTTTCCAAGTCTCCAGTTGAACTCACCCCGTAATTAAGTGGTCTGTTCATTCAGATATTTAGAGCCTACTATGTATTATTTCTGTGCTAGGTGCTCTACAATAGAATATGACATTGCAAGTTGCAAAAGGTTTGGTAGAACATTCCAGGCAGATGGATGGTATAGCTTTTGTGAAGACGTGGAGATCTGAAGGGCATGATGTGTCTTGGGAGTTGAGTAGTTCAGTGCCATATAAAGCATCAAACCAACATGGCTTAAACTTTGAATGTGTATCTGAGTCATTCTTATAAGGATGTTTGGGGTGGGGTCTGTGATTTTTTTTATTTTAACAAGTTCCACATGATGTCACTGGTGACCCCATTTTGTGTGGGCAAAGATCTAAAGGCTATGCTGAGAGCTCTGTGAGAGATGATAGGTCGAGTTACGCTTCCCACCCCCACGGCACTAAGAAGCTTGTGGAAGTGTTGAAAAAGTGAAGTTATACAATGAGATGTATTTTTTTAAATGGTAACTATGCTGCAGTTCTCAAGGCAGGTAAAACTGATAGTTCTGACACAGGAATCTGTGGGATGATTTGGACATAAACTGTCTCTGTTTAAACACAGCAGGACAGTGTTGGGCTTCCTCATTGATCTGGAAAGCTTTTCTGAGGAAGATGCAGTGGAACCTGATGTCTGGTTGATTAAATGAGTGGCCAGAAAAAGTTGGAGAGAAGCAATAAGATTACTGGCTTGAGTACATGGTAAGGTCGCTAACTCCCAGGGAATCAAAAAAAGAGCAGGTTTTAGGGATATGACGATGAACTTA